GACCCAAAAGAAGATCTTATCATCTGACATTCTGTTCGATCGTTACAAGATCATGAATTGCATTTGAAATCTCAAAACTATGAGGATTCAGATTTATTGTTGTTAATAGATAAATGTGGTCTGCAATGTTCATATTTCGAGGCTCCCAGAACCCCCAACTAATGGGTTACCAAGATCCTGCAGATGAAGACTTGGGAAAGGCCTGTTCCTTGTGAATTTCCTTCTCTGAGGATTTTTAAGGCTGGTTGACCATTTGTTGGGGTTACTTTGTTGATGCCTTCTTGCCCAGCAGCTGCCTAGTGCTGTTGGAGGACTGGACTTGCATGGCCAGTGGGTCTGCCCTGGACTTTGGGACACCATCGGTGGCTCATAACAGTGGGCGCTCAAGGCAGGCCTGTAGTGGGGGGGGGGGGGGGGTTAGGGGTTCAACCCCCCCCCGAAATGTTTCAGATTTTTTAAAAAAAACCTGGTTTACTCATGAATTTTAACTGGTTAACCAAATCCCCATGCTAAGTCTATGAGATGCAAAAAATTAAGAGTCCCTCCAGAACTGCAAGCACTATCTCAGGCAAATATTGACAATTTATTCACACTGTTTGGAACCCGCCTACCTGCGTGACCGCATCTCTGTGTACGAACCCACATGATCTCTTCGTTCATCTGGAGAGGCCCTACTCACGATCCCACCTGCATCGCAAGTGCAATTGGCGGGGACGAGGGATAGGGCTTTCTCGGTGGTGGCCCCTCGACTCTGGAACTCTCTCCCTAAGGACATCAGGCAAGCCCCAGCCAGGATAACTGCATGCCCATCCCCCTCCAAACACCTACCCTTTTCACCTGGTCATGCCCAGCACTTTTTAATTTTAATTATTACATTTGGCCCTGCCACAGATTTTAATTGTGTCATGGTGTGTTGTTAATGTTATTGCCTTGTTTTTGAGTTATTTTGCTGTATTGCTGTTATTGTTTTTACTGTTGTATTTGGGCTCGGCCTCTTGTAAGCTGCACTGAGTCCTCCGGGAGATGGTAGCAGCGTGCAAATAAAGGATTATTATTATTATTATTATTATTATTATTATTATTATTATTACTATTACTGTCATTGTGGGGTGTGTGTGTTGAATGTTCTCATTAAGGAGGCCAGACTTGGTGGAGGTGGTTGACAGGGGCGGAGCTGCAGGCTATTGAAGGCTGCTCTGCCCCCTGCTGTGCTCTTTGCTTCAGCGTGAGCTAGGAGGCAGGTTTCAAACCCCCCCCCCTGAAATTTTCAACCCTCCCCCAAAATTTCAACCCCTCCCGAAATTTTTTTCTGGCTACGGCCCTGGCTCAAGGTCTGTCATCACTTTGGAGAGCAGGCGCTCCTCGGTCCTTTGCAGAGTCCTCCTCAGCTTACTTTGCCTGACACTGCGCCGTGCCTGGATTCTCTGGGTGTTGTCTTTTGTGAGTGATCAAGGGCCTTGTCTTCCACTCCTCCTAGCCAAACCCCCTCTCCTCTTGCCCTTCGCACATTCTCCAGGATCCCACAGGGATTATTGATGCCTTTGCAACTCCATGATGCGAATCCCTGGAGCCGTCTCCGATGTCTTGGTGACTTGAGCTCCGATTTGAATAATTAACGCAGGAGAGTCACTCAGACTCCTAGTGATCTAAGCAGTGCATTTCAAGGGTATTTACTGACAAGCACAGATTGATCCCAATGCTGCTTTTTGCACGGAAAGGCTATGGGCTGAGTGCCAGACCACTCCTTGCTTGGGCCCAAACAGCCTAAGGCAGGCATGGGCAAACTTGGGTCCGCCAGGTGTTTTAGTCTTCAACTCCCACCATTCCTAACAGTCTCGGGCCCTTTCTGTTTCCTTTTCCCTTTCCTTTTCTGCTTGAGCAGCTGAGGGGGGAAAGGAGGGGACCAAAGGCTGTTAGGAATTGTGGGTGTCGAAGTCCAAAACACCTGGAGGGAAGGCTGAAGTTTGCCCATGTAATAACACCTCTGCATTGTCCTTGCCTAAGAAACCCCACTGGAAATCACAGGTGACTTGAAGGCACACTCAGAGGCACACACAGACTCCTTGCTATTGTGCAATGGCTTTTGTGATTTTTAGTGCTGGATGAGTTCCTGACCGCTGTGGCTGTCTGGATGAGGACGAACAAGTTGAAGATCAATCCCGACAAGACAGAGGTCCTCCTGGTAGATCGTAAAGCGGATCGGGGTATAGGGTGGCAACCTGTGTTGGACGGGGTTGCACTCCCCCTGAAGTCACAGGTCTGCAGTCTGGGTGTCCTCCTGGACTCATCACTGACGCTTGAAGCTCAGGTATCGGCGGTGGCCGGGAGGGCCTTTGCACAATTAAGACTTGTGTGCCAACTGCGACCGTACCTCATGAAAGCGGATCTGGCCAGGGTGGTCCATGCCTTAGTCACCTCCAGATTGGACTACTGTAATGCACTCTCCGTGGGGCTGCCCTTGAAAATGGCCCGGAAATTCCAATTGGTCCAATGGGCGGCGGCCAGGTTGTTAACTGGTGCTCCTTACAGAGAGAGGTCAACCCTCCTGTTTAAGGAGCTCCACTGGCTGCCATTCATTTTCCGGTCCCAATTCAAGGTGCAGGTTCTTACCTACAAAGCCCTGAACGGTTTGGGACCCGCCTACCTTCATGACCGCATTTCTGTATACGAACCCACACGATCTCTTCGATCATCTGGAGAGGCCCTGCTCGCGATCCCACCTGCATCGCAAGGCGCGATTGGTGGGGACGAGGGAGAGGGCCTTCTCGGTGGTGGCCCCCCGACTCTGGAACTCACTCCCCAAGGACATCAGGCATGCCCCAACTCTGTCAGTTTTTAGGAGGAGCCTGAAAACATGGTTGTTCCAGTGTGCCTTCCCAGAATAAGGAAACTCCCAGCAATATGTCCCTAAATGCACTTTATTAGTGATCTAGGATTGTCTGCACCCCTTTCCTCTCCGAAATTCTATCCTAGTTATATATTTCACCTGGTCATGCTCAGCATTATTTTTTAAATTAATTATTACATTTGGCCCAGCCATAGGTTTTTAAGCGTTGTTGTGCTATTGTTAATGTTTACTGCTTTTTTTATATTTATGAGTTTCATTTTATTGTTTTGTATTGCTGTTGTTGTTTTTGCTGATGTATTGTGGGCTTGGCCTCATGTAAGCCGCACCGAGTCCCTTAGGGAGATGGTAGCGGGGTACAAATAAAGTATTATTATTATTATTATTATTATTATTATTATTATTATAGTGGCATCAAAGATCCGTTTAAGGACACAGAACTATGTCAGTGGAGGTGTTGCAGTTTCCCGTCTCTCATAGTTTTCTCTTTTGGCCAGAGCAGACTGTACTCTGGCAAGGTCTGGAGGGATAAAGCTGGACCCAACCACTTAATATATTATTTTCAAAACACCATTGTTTCTACTGCAGGTTTGCTCCCTCACCCTTCAGCAAACACATCTAAAAATGCTCTGTGCATAATGAGTACCTTAAAAACAAAAGAACCAATGAATGAAATCACACTAAATTTGGCAACAAAGCGTCTCATTAGACAAGGAGTGATCATCACTCAAAAAATTATGATTTTGTCATCTGGGAGTTGTAGTTGCTGGGATTTATAGTTCACCTATAATCAAAGAGCATTCTGAACTCCACCAACGATGGAATTGAACCAAACTTGGCACACAGAACTCCCATGACCAACAGAAAATAATGGAAGAGTTTGGTGGGCATTGACCTTGAATTTTGGAATTGTAGTTCACCTACATCTAGAGAGCAATGTGGACTCAAACAATGATGGATCTGGACCAAACTTGACATGAATACACAATATGCCCAAATGTGAACACTGGTGGAGTATGGGGAAAATAGACCTTGACATTTGGGAGTTGTAGTTACTGGGATTTATAGTTCACCTACAATCAAAGAGCATTCTGAACCCTGTAAATGACAGAATCGGGGCAAACTTCCCACACTGGACCCCCATGACCAACAGAAAATACTTAAGGCCATCCAGTCCAACTCCCTTCATCAGGGCAAGAAAACGTAATCAAGGTCCTCCAGACAAACAGCCATCCAGCCACAGATATAGATAGATAGATAGATAGATAGATAGATAGATAGGGAATTGTAGTTGCTGGGATTTATAGTTCACCTACAATCAAATAGCATGATAGAATTGAACCAACCCGGGCATACAGGACTCCCATGACCAACAGAAAACACTAGAAGGGTTTGGTGGGCATTGACCTTGAGTTTGGGAGTTGTAGTTCACCTACATCCAGGGACTACCATGGACTCAAACAATGATGGATCTGAACCAAACTTGTCACAAATATTCCATATGCCCAAATATGAACACAGATGGAGTTTGGGGGAAATAGACCTTGACATTTGGGAGTTGTAGTTTCTGGGATGTATAGTTCACCTACAATCAAAGAGTGTTCTGAACCCCATCAACGACAGAATTGGGCCAAACTTCCCACACAGAACCCCCATGACCAACAGAAAATACTCAAGGCCATCCAATCCAACTCCTTTCACCAGGGCAAGAAAATGTAATCCACCAGGGCAAGAAAATGTAATCAAAGCCCTCCTGACAAATAGCCATCCAGCCATAGATATAGATAGATATGATTCACACACACACAAATATAGTATCATAGATTTGAAAGGGACCCCTGAAGAAGGAATTATATGTTGTATGTTCCAGAGTAGGCAAACCAGACACTCTCCACCTCAACACTGACAAAGAAACAGCAAGAAATATTGTTGACCCACAAGCATCAAGGCATTACATATATTAGAAACCAACACTTTCTCATTACTTTATTTTCCATATCAACAGACTAGGCCACAGCAATGCGTGGCAGGGGAAAGCTGTATTCTATAGATTTCCCCCATATTTTCCTAAAATCTTTTAATTTCCAAGTTCCTTTTCTAGCCTTAATACCGCATGTTAGTTTATCACGTTCTCCCTGCTTCTTTCTGCGTGCAGCAACCACAAGCATGGGTGTCAGGCAGTCCTCAGCCGGCGATCTCTCCGCGGATCAGTGTCCCATAACAGACGCCATTCAGAATGCCTACAGAGATGGAGAATTTGGGAAGGCCCAAGAGTTGGTTAAAGCGGCCTGCCAAGAGAGCATCTCACTCGTGGAAAAGGTAAGGCATGAAGGCTTGGGCATTCACTGTCCACCGAAAGAAGAGAAAGAAAGGCAGAATGATGCCTTACCCTGAGAAGCTACTCCATGCATTCTTTACCCTTCTTAAAGGTTGCTGGAATTTGCAGTCCAATTCTCCCACCCACCCCCATCAGTTTCATAATGTTGTGGTGGTCTCTGATCATGCCTGACAGCTGAAATGCCAACGGTGATGCTCCCAAGATAGAGCTATCCTTGCAGCACACCTTCCTCTGTTGTCATTCATTATGCATGGGAATGCCTTTGTAAACATCCTGGGAACTTCAGGGATTGCAAAATAGGGCAGCTAGACTGCTATCTGGGTCTGGTTAGTTGCAGCACAATGTGGCAGTGATTTGCCTTCTGCTCTGGATGGAGAACCGTTTCCATATCTCTATCTGCCTATCTATCTATCTATCTATCTATCTATCTATCTATCTCAGTGTTTCTCGACCTTCCTAATGCTGCGACCCCTTAATGCAGTTCCTTATGTTGTGGTGACCCCCAACCATAACATTATTTTCATTGCTACTTCCTAACTATCATAGAATAATAGAATCCTAGAGTTGGAAGAGACCTCATGGGCCATCCAGTCCAACCCCCTGCCAAGAAGCAGGAATATTGCATTCAAAGCACCCCTGACAGATGGCCATCCAGCCTCTGTTTAAAAGCTTCCAAAGAAGGAGCCTCCACCACACTCCGGGGCAGAGAGTTCCACTGCTGAACAGCTCTCACAGTCAGGAAGTTCTTCCTCATGTTCAGATGGAATCTCCTCTCTTGTAGTTTGAAGCCATTGTTCCGCGTCCTAGTCTCCAGGGAAGCAGAAAACAAGCTTGCTCCCTCCTCCCTGTGGCTTCCTCTCACATATTTATACATGGCTATCATGTCTCCTCTCAGCCTTCTCTTCTTCAGGCTAAATATGCCCAGCTCCTTAAGCCGCTCCTCATAGGGCTTGTTCTCCAAACCCTTGATCATTTTAGTCGCCCTCCTCTGGACACATTCCAGATTGTCAATATCTCTCTTCATTTTGCTATTGTTTTGAATCGTAATGTAAATACAATTCTTGACATGAATACTCAAATGGCCAAATGTGAACACTTGTGGAGTTTGAAGGGAAATAGACCTTGACATTTGGGATTGTAGTTGCTGGGATTTATAGTTCACCTACAATCAAAGAGCATTCAGAACTCCACCAAATATACAATTGGGCCAAACTTCCCACACAGAACCCCCATGACCAACCGTAATACTGTGTTTCCTGATGGTCTTTGGTGACCCCTTTGACACCCCCCTCGCGCCCCCCCCCAGGGGTCCCCCGAGGTCCCGACCCCCAGGTTGAGAAACACTTATCTATCTATCTATCTATCTATCTATCTATCTATCTATCTTTGTATATCAACCTATCTATTTCTATCCCTACCCCCTATATATATCTATCCCCATCTTTCCCTCTCAACCTCCCTCTCTCCCTCCCTATTTCTGTCTCTCTATCTCTCTACCTACCTACCTACCTATGGCAGGGATGGACAACTTCTGAGACTGCGGGATCTAGTTTTTTTGTCCTGGATTCCTCCATGGGCTACATAGACTATCAGAAATACCAAAAACAGTAGCGACAGCAACAACAACAACAAGAAGTGATCTGAAGTCTGGCACCAACACTCATTTCCTTTGGGAACCAAGTGAAAAGTTGGTCATCCATCAAGGCCTTTGGGTTTTATTAATTAATCTCTAATGTATAATGTATAATATAACAAAAGACTACCATCTCACCCACCTCATAGGAAACCTGCTACAAAACAGGAGCTTTTTTGTTGAGTTCCAGGGCCAGAGAAGCAGATGGCAGAAACAGAAGAACGGCCTGCCTCAGGGGAGCGTGCTTGCTCCATCCATGTTCAACATCTACACAAATGACCAGCCACTGCCAGAAGGGACAGAGAGCTTCATCTATGCTGATGATCGTGCCATCACCGCTCAAGCAGGGAGCTTTGAGATGGTTGAACAGAAGCTTTCCGAAGCTCTAGGTGCTCTTACTGCCTATTACAGGGAAAACCAGCTGATCCCTAATCCATCTAAAACACAGACATGTGCTTTTCATCTCAAGAACAGACAAGCATCCCGAGCTCTGAGGATCACCTGGGAAGGAATCCCACTGGAGCATTGCAGCGCACCCAGATATCTGGGAGTCACTCTGGACCATGCTCTTACCTGACAAGAAGCACTGCCTGAACATCAAGCAAAAAGTGGGTGCTAGAAACAATATCATATGAAAGCTGACTGGCACAACCTGGGGATCACAACCAGACTCATTGAAGACATCTGCCCTTGCGCTATGCTACTCTGCTGCTGAGTGCGCATGCCCAGTGTGGAACACATCTCACCACGCTAAAACAGTGGATGTGGCTCTTAATGAGACATGCCCCATTATCACGGGGTGTCTGCGCCCTACACCACTGGAGAAATTACACTGTTTAGCCGGTATTGCACCACCTGACATCCGCCGGGAAGTAGCAGCCAATAGTGAAAGGACCAAGGCAGAGACATCTCCAGCTCATCCCTTGTTTGGGTATCAGCCAGCATGTCAACACTTAAATCAAGAAATAGTTTTCTAAGATCTACAGAGACACTCGCTGGAACACCTCAGCAAAAGTGGCAGGCTCAAACCCAGAACCTCAATCAATGGCTGATACCAAATGAGGGACTCCCCCCTGGGCACACACAAAACTGGGCGACTTGGAAGGCGCTGAACAGACTGCGCTCTGGCACCACGAGATGCAGAGCCAATCTTAAGAAATGGGGCTACAAAGTGGAATCCACGACATGCGAGTGTGGAGAAGAGCAAACCACTGACCACCTGCTGCAATGCAACCTGAGCCCTGCCACATGCACAATGGAGGACCTTCTTGCGGCAACACCAGAAGCACTCCAAGTGGCCAGATACTGGTCAAAGGACATTTAACCAACTACCAAACTCACAAATTTTGTATTTTGTCTGTCTGTTTGTTCTGTTTTGTTAGAAATGTAATACAGTTGACTGGTTGCCCTGACACGACAAATAAATACTTGATTGCTTTGGAATATCAAGCAGAGAGCAAATGTTTCAGCGGTGTGATTTATTCATTGGAATTACTCATTCTAGAAGGGAGTTGCCCGGGGAAGTTTCCACCATGGGATTTTCCATTGAAGGCATTCTAAACCAGTTGTCCTTGCAAGGGGTGGGAGCTTTCAGATAGTTCCTCGAGAGTTTGTTTACTTCTGGTAGGTCTTTTGGATCCTGTTCCCACCGCTGTGATTTTCTAAGACAGTGGTTCTCAACCTTCCTAATGCCACGACCCCTTAATACGCTTCCTCATGTTATGGTGACCCCCAACCATAAAATTAGTTTCATTGCTACTTCATAACTGTCATTTTGCTGCTGTTATGAATCGTAATGTAAATATCTGATATGCAGGATGTATTTTCATACTCTGGACCAAATTTGGCACAGAGACCCAATACACCCAAATTTAAATACTGGTGGGATTCGGGGAGGGTATTGATTTTGTCCTGTGGGAGTTGGAGTTGCTGGGATTTATAGTTCACCTACAATCAAAGAGCATTTTGAACTCCACCAATGATGGAATTGAATCAGACTTGGCACACAGAACTCCCATGACCAACAGAAAATACTGGAAGGGTTTGGTGGGCACTGATCTTGAGTTCTGGGAGTTGTAGTTTACCTACATCCAGAGAGCACTGTGGACTCAAACAATGATGGATCTGGACCAAACTTGGCACGAATCCTCAATATGCCCAAATGTAAACATTGGTGGAGTTTGTGTAAAATAAATCTTGACATTTGGGAGTTGTAGTTGCTGGGATTTATAGTTCACCTACAATCAAAGAGCATTCTGAACCCTACTAACGATTAAATTGGGCCAAACTTCCCACACAGAACCTCCATGACCAACGGAAAATACTGTGCTTTCTGGTGGTCTTTGGTGACCCCTCTGACACTCCCTCGCGACCTCTCCAGGGGTCCTGACCCCCAAGTTGAGAAACACTGTTCTAAGAAGACCAATCACACTTGATATATTGTATGATTTGGTCATAGAATTAGGATCACCTTAGACCAACTCTTAGATGAGGCGGGTGAAGGGAGAAGTCAGTGATTGGATTCCGTTCTTTTCACTTTCTTTGGACTCCTGTGCTGTGCCTTCCTTCATCTCTCCTCTTCCCCGAACAGGGTCACCTCTTAAGCCTTTCAGCCGCCTTTGGGGACCTGCAGACAGTGAAGTATTTACTGGTAGAGGGACGTGTGATGGTGCCCCTTGAACCCAACGATGACCACCCTGCGGTGGTGGCAGCCTATTTTGGCCACAAGGATGTTACCCAAGAGCTTCTTGATTCTGTCCTTGGTAGGTGGAGTCTCTTGCTTTTCTCATTCCTTCCTTGTCCCCTTCTGTCCCCATGGTAGATGTGTTCCAGGACTTCTCATGCATATATAAACCACAAGTAATAGTGATTTACATTGAAATCAAGCGCCTCTGTCCCAAGAATGCCACCATGTTGTGCTGCAAAACCTAGAAAATGTCTAGAACAGGCCTGGGCAAACTTCGGCCTTCCTCCAGGTGTTTTGGACTTCAACTCCCACAATTCCAAACAGTCTCAGGCCTTTTCCTTTCTTTCTTTTCCTTTCCACTTAAGTGGCTGGAGGGAGGGCCCAAATTGGCCCATGCCTGCTCTAGACAATTTCTAGATTCTGCAGCACAACATGATGGCCTTACAGGCATGTAGCCGGGGGGGGGGGGGGGGGGGGGGGGCTTGAGGGGCTTCAGCCCCCCCCCCTCCCGAAATTCTCATGGTGGTTCGCGAAAAGGCCTTACTGGTGCATTATTTAAACTGTTATGTTTATTCATATCATGATCTGATCACCATACTCAATATATCCCATATGCATGGGGGTATTGGGGTAATGATACAAAAGGTTTGGTAGGGTAGACCCTCTTTCACTCAGACTCAGCCCCCCCCCCGAACTCCCCCTGAAAAAAATTCACACACCCCCTTCCCCCCGAAACGAAATCCTGGCTACGGGTCTGGTCTTGGAGTCCGGTGGAAGCTCCTTCCGTAAAGGCTTTGAAGAAAAGGTTGGATGGCCATCTGTGCTTTGATTGTGCTTTCCTACATGAAGGCAGAAGGGGGTTGGACTGGATGGCCTTTGAGTGTCTCTACCAACTATGACTTCAGAGGTACCAGCCAGTAGTGAAGAATCTGGAGCATTGATCTCCAAGACATCTGGAACACTAACAGGTTTATTTATTTATTTATTTATTTATCTATAGCTTTTATATTCCGCCCTTCTCACCCCACAGGGGACTCAGGGCGGATTACAGTGTACACATATATGGCAAACATTCAGTGCCAATTTTTGACATACAAACATATACAGACTTACACAGAGGCTATTTAACTTTCATCGTCCATCTGCGATGCGGATGAAGCACTTCCGCATTCCCCACATGCTTCCCCGCTGGAATGCTTTGCTGGAGTCATAAATCAGTTAATTTAGCCTCCCCACACTTTTAAGGTGGTACCTAATTTTCCTATTTGACAGATGCAAAGATCGACAACAGGCTACACACAATTGGTTGGAAACCCACTGCAACCTGGGCTGGCTTCGAACTCATGACTTTTTGGTCAGAGTGATCTTAATGCAGCTGACACTCAGCCAGCTGCGCCACAATCCTGGTGCCATATTTTAAAGCTTTTATTTTGGAAATCCCACCTCAGAGGTAGTGAGGTCTGTTGGAACTAGGAAAAGGGGTTTATATATCTGTGGAATGACCAGGGTGGGACAAATGACTCTTGTCTGCTGGAGCTAGGTGTGAATGTTTATTATTTATTACTAGCTGTGCCCTGCCACGCGTTGCTGCGGCCTATAGTAAAACTTATCAAAGTTGAGGTAGATATCTGGACTATTATGTGTGTGCGGCGGCGGGGGGAATGATGGAGCCTGGGGTTGCGTGTGTGTGTGCGGCGGGGGGGAGGTGGGTGTGTGTGTGCGGCGGCGGGGGAGTGATGGAGCGTGGGGTTGTGTGTGTGTGGCGGCGGGGGGAGTGATGGAGCGTGGGGTTGCGTGTGTGTGGCGGCGGGGGGAGTGATGGAGCGTGGGGTTGTGTGTGTGCGTGCGGCAGGGGGTGTGTGTGTGCGGGAAGCAGCGTGGCAGGGCTTGGAGTGGGCATGGCTTCTGCAGAGGGAACGTTGGCCGGAAGGCTGTGCGCGCGCCAGGGAACTTGCGGCTGGGCACCAATGCGCATGCTCAGTTGTTTTGCCGTTTTGTGAGTGTGTTGTTGTGTTGTTTTTCATTTTGAGTAGATATGTTTGTACCTTGTGGGTTGTGTTATGGGCATGGGAATTTTGGTTAAGTTCGTTGGGGTTTTTTTGAGTTTTGTTGTTTTGCCGTTTTGTGAGTGTGTTGTTGTGTTGTTTTTCATTTTGAGTAGATATGTTTGTACCTTGTGGGTTGTGTTATGGGCATGGGAATTTTGGTTAAGTTTCGTTGGGGTTTTTTTGAGTGTTGTTGTTTTGCCGTTTTGTGAGTGTGTTGTTGTGTTGTTTTTCATTTTGAGTAGATATGTTTGTACCTTGTGGGTTGTGTTATGGGCATGGGAATTTTGGTTAAGTTTCGTTGGGGGGTTGTGGAGTTTTGCTGTCCGGTTGAAAACCATGAAAATGAACAAAATCTGGCTACCAGTATTAAAAAACTCTAAAATTGCAACAGAACAACAACAGAGAGGAAGCAGGCAGGAACATCTAATTACCTCTCAACAAAGTTTGCTCCAGGCACAGTCAGCCCATTGTATGCTAATCAAGGTGGTCAGTTGAAACATTCACACCTAGCTCCAGCAGACAAGAGTCCTTTTCCCACCCTGGTCATTCCACAGATATATAACCCCTTTTTCCTAGTTCCAACAGACCTCACTACCTCTGAGGATGCTTGCCATAGATGCAGGCGAAACGTCAGGAGAGAATGCCTCTAGACCATGGCCATATAGCCCGAAAAAACCTACAACAACCCATGGTCACTTTTCTTCTTGTGCCTTTTGGGCTTTCTAGTTGACTCAATAAAGACATCACTGTTCTGTGGATTTGATATTTTGTTGTATTTTGCACCCTCTTTTTTGGTCACTTTGATGGAATGACATTCAATGAACCTTTGTTTGACTAGGTTCTTCCAACATCTTGCAGCTTCTGAACTGGGTGCTCGCCATTGCCTGCCAGCAAGGCCACCTGGAAATAGTCAAGCTGCTGGTCCTGACGTACAAAGCAGACCCCGACAGCTATGCGGTACGGAGGAACGAATTCCCCACTCTTATCCGATTGCCTTTGTATGCAGCCATAAAAGCAGGTATGTTTCCATGAGCTTCATGCAAGGCACACGGCTGAAAATATCATCTTCCTGGCATCTCCTTTGTATCTCTTTGCTGGGTTCTTTATTAGGATATGAAGACGTTGCCACCTTCTTGCTTGAGAACGGGTCTTTCTTTTGCTCCTATGTCCTGATGGACTGCCCTGGCACAAGCAAGCGCCTCCTGCAGCAATATTTTGTGGAAACGACAGCCTCATCCAGGAGTAGTGCACCTGCAAAAACAGTGAGTGTCTCTTTGTATGTTGAAGGCGTTTGGGGGATTGAAACCTTGATCCTTCCTAGTGGGTGGGGACTCTGAAAGGCCCCCATAGTGAAGTTTTGCCATTTGTTTATTTATTTATTTTATTTTATTTAGAGCTTTTATAACCCGGTCTTCTCAACCTCCGAAGAGGAACTCAGGCCGGCTAACAACAGGAAATTCATACACAAATAAGCTAAAATATATTAATATCATAATAAGTTAATACATTAAAACACATTAAAATACAGATTAAATAATTACATAAAGCCACGTCGTCCAGGTAAATCACAAATTCATCACCATCCGTCAGTGTGGTCAGCAGTTATTGACTCGGTCATCATTCTGAGAATGCTATGTTCCAGAGCCAAGATTTTACCAGCTTTCTGAAAGTCAGGAGGGAAGAGGCAGATCTAATCTCCATTGGGAGAGAGTTCCAGAGCTGAGGGGCCACCACCAAGAAGGCCCTGTCCCTTGTCCCCACCAAACGTGATTGCAAAGGTGGTGGGACCGAGAGCAGGGCCCCTCCAGAAGATCTTAACAACCTTGATGGTTCATAGGGGAGAATCCGTTCAGACAGGTAAATAGGGTCAGAGCACTTTGAATTGTGCTCGGAAACTATTCGGCAGCCAGTGGAGCTGACGCAACAAAGGAGTAGTATGCTCCCTGAACCCCGCTCCTGTTAGTAATCTGGCTGCTGCACATTGGACTAGTTGAAGCTTCTGGGCAGTCTTCAGAGGCAACCCCAAGTAGAGAGCATTGCAGTAGTCTATACGGGATGTAACCAGAGCGTGGACCACCGTGGTCAAGTCAGACTTCCCAAGGTATGGGCGCAGCTGGCACACAAGTTTTCAATTGTGCAAAAGCTCCCCTGACCACCGCTGAGACCTGGGGTTCCAGGCTCAGCGATGAGTCTAGGATCACTCCCAAGCTGCGAACCTGTGCCTTCAGGGGGAGTGTAACCCTGTCAAGCACAGGCTGTAACCCTATGCCCTGTTCGGCCTTACAACTGGCCAGGAGTACCTCTGTCTGGTCTGGATTTAGTTTCAATCTGTTAGCCCTCATCCAGTCCATTACAGCGGCCAAGCACCGGTTCAGGACTTGAACAGCCTCCTTAGTAGCAGGTGGAAAGGAGTAACAGAGTTGGACATCATCTGCGTACAGGTGACACCGCACCCCGAAACTCCGGATGATCTCTCCCAATGGCTTCATGTATATGTTGAACAACATAGGGGACAGTACTGAGCCCTGCGGGACCCCACAGTACAATGGTCGCAGATTCAAGCAGGAGTCCCTTAGTAACACCTTCTGGGAGCGACCCTCGAGGAAGGATTGGAGCCACTGCAAAGCAGTACCCCCGAGGCCCATTCCTATGAGGCATCCCAGGAGGATACCATGGTCAACAGTATCGAAGGCCGATGAGAGGTCCAGCAGAACCAACAGGGACATTTGTTTCGTTTCTCTCTTGCCTTTTCACTCACGATAGAACTCAAAGTAGCTTACAGATTGTTAAAATCAATGCAAATCAATTGATTACAGAAATGTAATTAATCAAACAATACCAAAGACTTTGCATCATCAAATCCCAAAGTACAGAAAAAAACTAGGCCAGAATGGAAAGATCAGGCTTGGATCCTTCTTTGACCCAGTTCCTGAAGAACTCGCTGCACATAAACCAAATTTCAGAAATATTGAGTCTTTGGCTACAGATCCAAGTTCCAAACACTCTGCCTGGGATTCTGGAATGTATAATCCCTCGGAAAGTAACTTATCAGCCCTCCAGGTGTTTTGGACTTCAGCAATTCCTAACAGCCTACTGGCTGTTAAGAATTGTGGGAGTTGCAATCCAAAACATCTGGAGGGCCCAATTTTGCCCATGCTTGATTTGGAGTTATTTATCTCAGCAACCAGGCACCCGTTTTCCAACTGTAATGGTTGATGCTTCTCATTGAAGGCTTTTCTTTTGCTTCACTCTTGAGGGTCTCCTGGTGAACTGGTCACGCTTGAGGCTCCCTTGGGTGGACCTGGACTGGCTGATGGACGTCTCCCACCGGGTGACCGAGCTGCACCTCTCCACCAACCACCTCGCCACACTGCCCTCTGCCCTCCCTTGGGGGCTGGTCAACCTCCAGAAACTGAGCCTTAATGAGAACCGGTTGCGCGAGCTGCCTGTTGTGCACTCGTCGGATGAAATCATGTGCACCAAGTAGGTGTCCTTGCTCTTATAGCTGTTCTCTGGGTACCCACTTTCATTCATTTCGTATTTAAAAAGTCCTGTTCTGGGTCTAAAATGATCTTGAGGGAGAGATGGTGTGTGAAACATGTTATTTATTATTTTGTGTCAAAAGCGCTGCATAAATAAATAAGTATAAAACTTATAAAATAAGTGAAAGTACAAGTGACTAAATGATTTTAGACGAAAAACGGGCAACAGCAACCGCATTGTCTGTAGCTTTAAGCAGTTCTTCCTCTGTGCATGAGGCAGGGCATTGCGGATAGGCATACAGATGTGGAGTTGGTTGTTCTGCTCCACAGTCACACAAGGTGGAGAGTTCTTCTAGATTGTGCCATTTTGCCAGATTGTCTTTTGATCTGCCCACTCCGCTTCTGAGTCTGTTCAGGGCCATCCAGTTGGAATTGCTTGATTTTTGCTGCCCACAGGGATATTCTTGCTGTTGCTGTGAAACATGTTGAAAGTGCCCCTACCCTTCAGAGGTTGTTTGGGGCTATTTGGAGGAGGGGGAGTTGTTTTGCAGAGGAAGTGCATGGCAAGGGGGTCCAGAGGATCATCTTGGTGGTAAATCTGCCCATTGGAATTGACTTGATTACCCCTCCTCTTTTTTTCTCACCTTTGAACTTACAGATTACTTGAGGTCGACATCTCCAACAACAGGTTTCTCAGCCTCCCTTCAGGCTTCTTGCACCTTTGCAGACTCCAAAGGCTTCTGGCTGCCAAGAATTATTTGGAGACGTTGTTTGATGAAGAGGATGGTGAGTCCATCTTGGGAACTGCAGAATCGCCCCTCTTGCTCAGGGCCCTTCCACACAACCATAGAACCCAGAATATCATGGCAGATCACCCACAGTATTTGGTTTGAACTGGATTATCTGAGTCCACAGTGCCATATAATTCAGTTCAATGTGGAATGGGCCTCAGCAGTCTTTCGCTATCATGCTATGGGAAGCAGGAGGCATTCCCAGTTGCTCATTTCTCCATTTGTCTGCAAATCTGAGCACCGGGATTGTGGCGCAGCTGGCTGAGTGTCAGCTGCATTAAGATCACTCTGACCAAAAGGTCATGAGTTCAAAGCCAGCCCGGGTTGGAGTGGGCTTCCAACCAATTGTGTAACCTGTTGTCGACCTTTGCAACCCGAAAGACAGTTGCATCTGTCAAGTAGGAAAATTAGGTACCACCTTAAAGTGTGGGGAGGCTAAATTAACTAATTTATGAGGCCACAAAAAAGACTCCAGCAAAGCACTCCAGAAAAAGCATGCGGGGAATGTGGAAGTACTTCATCAGTGTCGCAGATGGACAATGAAAGCGACAGCTTCCCTGGCAGCCAGAAAAAAGTTAAATAGCCTTTGTGTATGTCTGTATACGTTGTATGTCAAAATTGGCATTGAATGTTTGCCATATATGTGTTCATTGTAATCCGCCCTGAGTCCCATGCGGGGTGAGAAGGGTGGAATATAAATACTGTAAATAAATAAATAAATAAATAAGAGTCCCAATGTGTTTTCCTGTCTTTTGCAAGACATATTGTTGCTTGAGCCAAAGGGGAAAAAATCGTCCTGCCCGCCCCCCCATCCAAAAAAAACCCAACAACTGAACTGTTCAAAAGTGTACGTTAGCACTAGTGTTAAGATTTTATGCAAAATTTGTATTGCAAATTGCACTTAGATAGGAAGCAGGGTCATAGAAGGCTATGCAACACTCCTATCTTTGGGTTGTTGTAGGTTTTTCTGGGCTATATGGCCATGGTCTAGAGGCATTCTCTCCTGACATTTCGCCTGCATCTATGGCAAGCATCCTCAGCGGTAGCGAGGTCTGTTGGAACTAGGAAAAAGGGTTTATATATCTGTGGAATGACCTGGGTGGGACAAAGGACTCTTGTCTGCTAGAGCTAGGTGTGAATGTTTCAACTGACCACCTTGATTAGCATATAATGGCCTGACAGTGCCTGGAGCAAACTTTTGTTGAGAGGTGATTAGATGTCCTTGTTTGTTTCCTCTCTGTTGTTGTGCTGTTGTAACTCCTATCTTTGTCCTTTGTACCTTCTGCCAGAGGCGGCTGCTTCACCCTAAGATTGAAGCCTATCTTTCTTTTACATTTGGAATCCACTTGTCTGCTTCCTCATGCCTTCCTCGCTTCCTCCCAAGGCATCCATCCATTGCCCTTTCTATCCCCTTGGTCCAAACCCTCCACATCCGTTGTGGTCACTTGTGTTAGGTTTCATCCCTGATTGCACAAGTCTCCAGTCCTCAGTGTGTAGGTAGACTAGAGAGTATTCAAGTGAAGAATTCCTTACGCAAATTCCTATGCATGCTTATCCCAGAAGAGGCTTTGTCTTACTCTTCTTCTCTTGCCACTATCCTTGTCTCCACCCCCCCCCCCCCTTTGAAGATGTAGCAATGTGATCTCTGTGAGGGATGAGGTAGAATCATAGAATCATAGGTAATTTCGGGCTATATGGCCATGTTCTAGAGGCATTTCTCCTGATGTTTCACCTGCATCTATGGCAAGCATCCTCAGAGGTAGTGAGGTCATTTGGAACTAGGAAAAAGAGTTTATATATTTGTGGAATGACCAGGGTGGGACAAAAGACTCTTGTCTGCTGGAGCTAGGTGTGAATGTTTCAACTGACCACCTTGATTAGCATTTGATTGCCTGGCAGTGCCTGGCAATCCCTCTTGTCCTTTGCTGAACGAAGCATTTGTTGGATTTTCTTGGTGGGTCTGTAGATAGTTTGTATGTTATGTTTCCTCATCAGCTTCCCTATGCGGTCAGTGGTTTCCTTGATGTATGGCAAGAACACTTTTCCTCTGGGTGGATCTTTGTCTTTACTCAAATGCTACGTTCAGCAAAGGACAAGAGGGATCCTCTCACTTCTGCAGGAGTCTACCGTGTACCATGCAGCTGTGGACAAGTCTACATAGGGACCACCAAACGCAGCAGCATTGCCCAGACACGAATCAAGGAACATGAAAGGCACTGCAGACTGCTTCAACCAGAACACCTGATGAACCAACCTGGACACAGCATATTATTTGAGAACACAGAAATGCTGGATCACTCTAACAACCACCATGTCAGACTACACAGAGAAGCCATTGAAATCCACAAGCATGTGGACAATTTCAACAGAAAGGAGGAAACCATGAAAATGAACAAAATCTGGCTACCAGTATTAAAAAAAACTCTAAAATTAAAACAGCACAACAACAGAGAGGAAACAATCAGGGACATCTATTTACCTCTCAACAAAAGTTGTTCCAGGCACAGTCAGCCCATTGTATGCTAATGAAGGTGGTCAGTTGAAACATTCACACCTAGCTCCAGAAGACAGGGTGGGTCCTTTGTCCCACCCTGGTCATTCCACAGATATAAAAACCCTTTTTTCTAGTTCCAACAGACCTCACTACCACTGAGGATGCTTGCCATAAATGCAGGCGAAACTTCAGGAGAAAATGCCTCTAGACCATGGCCATACAGCCCAAAAAAACCTACAACAACCCAACTCTGGAAAGGATTTTTAATTCCACTAAACAGGTTTCCACCATATTTTTCTTCAAACTATGTTTTTTTATTTAATAGACAGCTTCAGTTACAAGCTTATTCTTTCTTTATGATGTTTCTGTTACAATAGAGACTCTCACTGGGTTTCTCTCACCCTTTCAACACTAACTATTAATATAAATAAGCCAACTCGACTTATTTAAACTACTCAGGCTAAAAGCTCAAACCTCCCTGATTCTTACTACAGAAGAATCAGTTCTTTCCCTGTAGCTTTTAAACTACAGATCCCTTCTGGTTCTCTCTACTCAACAGAACCAGCCTCTCCTACAGTTCGCAGACTGTAGACTAACTGTTTAAAATGGCTGCCCTGCCAAGTGGCAGTTGGCTCCGCCCCTGTTTCCATGGTAACCCAGCTCAACATAAGCTGAGCTGACTGCCATTTTCCTTGGTTATGCAACTTTAAATACCTACCCTTTAAACATCTGTCTATAATTATACATAACATCTATAATTACACATAACTGCAAGTTAATAATTTACACTTCACCACAGATACTTTTTGTTATTTTTATCCTTTTATCTTTCATAGAATCAAAGAGTTAGAAGAGACCTCATGGGCCATCCAGTCCAACCCCTCTGGCAAGAAGCAGGAATATTGCATTCAAATCACCCCTGACAGATGGCCATCCAGCCTCTGTTTAAAAGCTTCCAAAGAAGGAGCCTCCACCACACTCCGGGGCAGAGAGTTCCACTGCTGAACGGCTCTCACAGTCAGGAAGTTCTTCCTCATGTTCAGATGGAATCTCCTTTCTTGAAGTTTGAAGCCATTGTTCCACGTCCTAGTCTCCAGGAAGCAGAAAACAAGCTTGCTCCCTCCTCCCTGTGGCTTCCTCTCACATATTTATACATGGCTATCATATCTCCTCTCAGCCTTCTCTTCTTCAGGCTAAACATGCCCAGTTCCCTAAGCCGCTCCTCATAGGGCTTGTTCTCCAGACCCTTGATCATTTTAGTCGCCCTCCTCTGGACACATTCCAGTTTGTCAATATCTCTCTTGAATTGAAGCTATATCGTAGAAGATAGCTTAATAAACTAGTTAGCGCCAAGACTTTTTTCTATCTAGAATGGATTTCTTTTTGCTTCAATAAATATATTTTGGAACCTAAGGTTGTGACTCCTGCAATCCTGATCCATCTTCTTGACTGGAAACTATTCCTTGCTCTCTACACGTAAGCTTCTGCTGGTTATGAACTGTGCTTCTGGCACTCTGCTATATTTTTTGTGGAATCACCCCCAAGAGAGGGTTATTTTGAGCCTTACAGCTCTGATTCCCATTATCTTGAGAATCAAGATCTTCTTAGTCCAGGAGCTTAAAGGACTTGACCAACCCAGCATCCCTAGACTTGCTGATGGTTCGTTTGTCTCTCTTTCAGGCATCAACTGGATTGGGTTGAGGAAGCTGCAGGAGCTGGATGTCTCAGACAACAGGCTGTCAGAGTTACCAGATCCATTTCTTCACTGCCTGAAATCGCTGAACGTCCTCAATGTCTCTAGAAACAAACTGAAGATGTTTCCTCAGCCATGGGCCTGTCCCTTGGTAAGTCTGGGAGACACAGGGATATATATCTAGGAAATGAAAGATTGTAACCAAGGAGCAGCACAGAGACAAGTTCTGCAGGATGCTAGACTCATTGGTTGAAGTAGCCGTGGGAGTTCTGTGTGCCATATTTGGTTCAATTCCATCATTGGTGGAGTTCAGAATGCTCTTTGATTGTAGGTGAACTATACATCCCAGTAACTACAACTCCCAAATGTCAAGGTCTATTTCCCCCAAACTCCATCTGTGTTTATATTTGGGCATATTGATTATTCGTGCCAAGTTTGGTCCAGATCCCTCATTGTTTGAGTCCACAGTGCTCTCTGGATGTAGGTAAACTACAACTCCAAAACTCAATGTCAATGCCCACCAAACCCTTCTATTTATTTATTTATTTATTTACCTTACTTATATACCGCTGTTCTCAGCCCGAAGGCGACTCACAGCGGTTCACAACAAATACGAACAGCTACAGTATAAAAACAGTTAACAACCTAACACATTACACAATTAATAAACAGTTACTACAATACCCATTCACTGTCGTCTCGTCATCAAAAACATGTTCCAGATTCGTCATCCATTGTTCCATTCCAGTGCTCATTAACCAATCATTGCACTAATTATTCGAATGCCTGCTCAAACAGCCAGGTCTTCACTTTTTTGCGGAATACCATTAGAGATGGTGCTAGTCTAATGTCCGTAGGAAGGGCGTTCCACAGCCGAGGAGCCACCACCGAGGAGGCCCTATCTCTCTAGTGTTGATCAGGGGAGTCTTGTGTGCCAAGTTTGGTTGGTGGAGTTCTGAATGCTCTTTGATTATAGGTGAACTATAAATCCCAGCAACTACAACTCCCAAATGACAAAATCATAATTTTTGAGTGATGGTCACTCCTTGTGTTGTGAGATGTTTTGTTGCCAAATTTGGTGTGATTTCATTCATTGGTTCTATTGTTTTTAAGATACTCATTATGCACAGAGCATTTATATATATATATATATATAGATTGCACTATGTAAAATGATTTTTGTTCCTGGGTTATCAATGCCATTTCCTAATTGATTCTATCATTAAAACATGAGAAAGTCGATTCAACTCCAAAGACTGCTTTTGTGGGAGGGACATCATCCTGCTATAGCACAGTTTGCTCTATTTTTTCAGTGAATCCCTCATCATTGAGTCTCAACTCATTCACAAAAAAAGAAGTTTCTGGGGCAGAACAATTCCTTTCAAAGTAAGGACCCCACAATTAAGCAGCAAATAACACTTTCAAACCAGGAACATAATTTTTTTTTGTCATGTCAGGAGCGATACTGCAAGTCACTTCTGGTGTGAGAGAATTGGCCGTCTGCAAAGACGTTGCCCAGGGGATGCCTGGATATTTGATGTTTTTATCATCCTTGTGAGAGGCTTCTCTCATGTCCCTGTATGAGGAGCTGGAGCTGATAGAGGGAGCTCATCCGCCTCTCCCCGGATTCGAACCTGCGACCTGTGGGTCTTCAGTCCTGCTGGCCACTGCACCACCGGGGGCTCCGGGAACAGAACAGAACATGTATCAAATATTATTGCACAGTGTAATATTTCACCAGAAATGGCCTACTCGCCTCCAAGCCTCTCTTCCCACTGATAAGCACTAGACAGGGGCGGCTCAACCCATTACGCAAAGTAAGCATTTGCAGTATAGTTGATTTTGCCCAGGGGCGCTCTTGAGGTGCTCAATAGACCTTGACATATGCGAGTTGTAGTTACTGGGATGTATAGTTCACCTACAATCAAAGAGCATTCTGAACTCCGCCAATGATGGAATTGAACCAAATATGGCACACAGAACTCCCACGACGAACAGAAAATATATATCAGTGATTGGTTGGGGGGGGGGGTGCCAACATACTGTTTGCTTACCATTGAAAATTACCTAGGGCCGCCTCTGGCACTAGAAATGTGCTTTTAAAAATCAATGCGCTCACCTTGAGGCTGAGATGGCGGAAGCAGACATATTGTTTTGAACAGGACTGCCCTTTCTTTCTCCTCCCTCTCTCCCTCCAGAAGTGTTGCAAGGCAGCTCAAAACGCATTGGAATCTCTCCCTGACACTCTGGCTGTTTTTTGGAAAAATCACCTGAAGGAAGTAGATTTTTCCGACAATGTTCTGAAGGAGGTCCCGCTCTGCCTTTTCCAGCTGGAAGTAAGTTGCACCATTCCTGTCCTTGCTTTCCAGTTTGCACGCCCTGCTTTGACCTTCCGAAGGGTGGGATTAGTGTGGCTTGAGACCATTTTAACTGCTGTGGAATCTCTGGAATTGCGCTTTTACAAGGTCCTTAAGCCTTCTCCCAGGCTGGATCTTTTAAATCCAGATTATCTGCTTTGAACTGGTCTACACTGCCATATCAAAGCAGATCATCTGGATTCAAGAAATAGTTAATCAAGTTAAGTCAAGACATAGTTTTCTAAGATCTACAGAGACACTCGCTGGAACACCCCAGCAAGTGAGAGTCCAAAAGTGGCAGGCTCAAACCCAGAGCCTCAACCAATGGCTGATACCAAATGAGAGACTCCCCCCTTGGCACACAGAAAACTGAGCGACTTGGAAGGCGCTGAACAGACTGCGCTCTGGCACCACGAGATGCAGAGCCAACCTTAAGAAATGGGGCCACAAAGTGGAGTCCACGACATGCAAGTGTGGAGAAGAGCAAACCACAGACCATCTGCTGCAATGCAACCTGAGCCCTGCCACATGCACCATGGAGGACCTTCTTATAGTAACACCAGAGGCACTCCAAGTAGCCAGATACTAGTCAAAGGACATTTAATCAACTACCAAACTTGCAAACTGTGAGAGCTGTTCAGCAGTGGAACTCTCTGCCCCGGAGGCTCCTTCTTTGGAGGCTTTTAAACAGAGGCTAGATGACCATCTGTCGGGGGTGCTTTCAATGCAATTTTCCTGTCTCTTGGCAGGGGGATGGACTGGATGGCCCATGAGGTCTCTTCCAACTCTCCGATTCTATGATTCTGTGACTGCCCATATATATAATATATATATGAGTGATAGATATAGTATCATAGATTGGAAATGACCCCCAAAGGTCATCCAGTCCAGCCCCATTGTTCATAACTAGAGGTCGTTCGTAAGTCAAGTGTGTGTAACTTGGGGATGGCATGTAGTTCCTTTAAGGAATTGAAATGTATGCATGACCACCAGTAGAACACTAGATGGCAGTGTTGCGCCATTTTCTCTCCTAAATTGGTTTGCCCCAGAATTTATTAAATCCAGTGTACTTTCTAGCAAGCTTTCCATTTTTTCATTAGTTATTTCAATATCTTAAATTCAGTGAAATGCCTGGTATCCACAGTTTCATTTATCCACGTCCAACAAGATACATAATCTCTAAGGCATATTCAAGAACCTCTGTTGTTGTTTTTATTTATGCATACTGTATTTTTCTCTCCCATTAAAAGTCATTAAAAGCATTTCAATGCAATTTAAAATCCCCCCAAAAATTTACAAATATTAGAATAGAATGACACACCCATGGTATTAGTTATAAATTAACAGTAAAAATCCGCAAAACAGAGAAAACAGAAAGACAACAACAATGTATTTACATACATACACTTGGAGAACATTTACATAACTATACAATTTCACTCATCAGCATGCATCTCTGCTGTAATGACATTGAAATCTAAAGTGCAAACATACACACAAACGTTGGTTTTGCCATATATTTGCCAACTAATATCCATGGATCCATGCGATACAATTCTGACTTTGTGCTTCCATGAAATCTTTCGACTTCTCTGCTTAAGAATGCTTGAGCTTTTGTAATACAAAACATATATAAGGATGAATCACTATAAACCGCAAGGCATCTTAACCTGTATTACGCAAAAAGAATGCAAAACCGGGTAGTAAATAGGGCTTGACTTCCAAGCAGACAATGTGGTGTCAAACCAATGCAATGGGTTGCTGTGCATTTTACGGGCTGTACCTACACAAAAACCCCAACCATCACCAAGGTAAAAAAAAAAAAGAAGCACAATGAGATTGTAAAATTTGATGATTTAAAACATAAATATTGTTTTTATATATATTTAAATTGTGTGGGCAAACCCCTCATACAAGAAATACCAGTTAATAGAAAGGCTGTGCAGTGGGGGGGGGGGGGGGGGGGGGGGGGGGGGGGGGGGGAGGGGGATTGAATTACTATAGTATATATTAAATTGTGTACATATAACACCAACTTACTAACAAACAGATTTGAGTAATAAATTTCTAAAGTTAGGTTGATAATAAACTCAGCTAAACAAGAGTTTTGGTTGGTTGCATGCTGCAAGTTGCTTCTGGTGTGAGAAAATCAGTTGTCTATCAAGATGTTGTCAAGGAGATGCCCAGATGTGTTACGATCCTGCAGGGAGGCTTCTCATGTGATAATGCCTACACCCTACATCACTGGATAAAGTTTACTGTTTAGGCAGTATTGCACCACTGACGTCCATCAGGAAGTAGAAGCCAGTAATGAAAGGACCAAGGCATTGACATCTCCTCCCCATCATCTGTTCGGATATCAACCAGCTGGCCAATGCCTTAAATCAAGAAACAGATTCCTACTCGCAGGAAGACTTCAGCAAGCAAGAGTCCAAAAGTGGCAGGCTAGAACCCAGAACCTCAATCAGTGGCTGAGACTGAATGAGAGACTCCCTCCTTTCCCTCTATTCTTGGGAAACAAGTCATCCAGGAACACCTGGCCGCTCTAAATGAGTTCAAGTCCCCTTTCAGGGCCAGATCAACTACACCCAAGAGTATTGAAGGAACTAGCGGAAGTCATTTCGGAACCATTGGCAATCATCTTTGAGAGTTCTTGGAGAACGGGAGAAGTTCCAGCAGATTGGAGGAGGGCCAGTGTGGTCCCAATCTTCAAGAAGGGAAAAAAGGATGACCCAAACAACTACCGTCCGGTCAGCCTCACATCGATACCAGGCAAGATTCTGGAAGCGGGGGGGGGGGTTCAGCCCCCCCCCCCCGAAATTCTCATGTTGGTTCGCGAAAGGCCTTACTGGTGCATTATTTAACCTGTTATGTTTATTCCTATCATGATCTGATCACCATACTCAATATATCCCATATGCATGGGGGTATTGGGGTAACGATACAAAAGGTTTGCTAGGGTAGACCCTCTTTCACTCAGACTCAGCCCTCCCCCCCCCCCCGAACAAACTCAGCCCCCCCCCCCGAATCAAAATCCTGGCTACGGGCCTGCAGGCAAGATTCTGGAAAAGAACATTAAGGAAGTGGTCTGCAAACACTTAGAAACAAATGCGGTCATCGCTAATAGTCAACATGGATTTATCAAAAACAAGTCATGCCAGACTCATCTGATCTCTTTTTTCGATAGAGTTACAAGCTGGGTAGATGCGGGGAATGCCGTGGATGTAGCGTACCTGGATTTCAGGAAGGCCTTCAACAAGGTCCCCCACGACCTTCTGGCAAGGAAACTAGTCCAATGTGGGCTAGGCAAAACTACGGTGAGGTGGATCTGTAATTGGTTAAATGGACGAACCCAGAGGGTGATTCTCACCAATGCTTCCTCTTCATCCTGGAAAGAAGTGACGAGTGGAGTGCCATCAGCAGGGTTTTGTCCTGGGCCCGGTCCTGTTCAGGATCTTCATTCATGACTTAGATGAAGGGCTAAAAGGCAGGATCATCAAGTTTGCAGATGACACCAAATTGGGAGGGAGAGCCAATACTCCAGAGGACAGGAGCAGGATTCAAAACGATCTTGACAGATTAGAGAGATGGGCCAAAACTAACAAAATGAAGTTCAACAGTGACAAATGCAAGATACTCCACTTTGGCAGAAAAAATGAAATGCAAAGATACAGAATGGGGGACAATGCCTGGCTCGAGAGCAGTACGTGTGAAAAAGATCTTGGAGTCCTCGTGGACAACCAGTTAAACATGAGCCAACAATGTGATGTGGCGAAAAAAAGCCAATGGGATTTTGGCCTGCATCAATAGGAGCATAGTGTCTAGATCTAGGGAAGTAATGCTACCCCTCTATTCTGCTTTGGTTAGACCACACCTGGAATATTGTGTCCAATTCTGTGCACCACAATTCAAGAGAGATATTGACAAGCTGGAATGTGTCCAGAGGAGGGTGACTAAAATGATCAAGGGTCTGGAGAACAAGCCCTATGAGGAGCGGCTTAAGGAGCTGGGCATGTTTAGCCTGAAGAAGAGAAGGCTGAGAGGAGACATGATAGCCATGTATAAATATGTGAGGAAGTCACAGGGAGGAGGGAGCAAGCTTGTTTTCTGCTTCCTTGGAGACTAGGACGCGGAAATGGCTTCAAACTACAAGACAGGAGATTCCATCTGAACATGAGGAAGAACTTCCTGACTGTGAGAGACGTTCAGCAGTGGAACTCTCTGCCCCGGAGTGTGGTGGAGGCTCCTTCTTTGGAAGTTTTTAAACAGAGGCTGGATGGCCATCTGTCAATATTCAATATTCATGCTTCTTGGCAGGGAGTTGGACTGGATGGCCCATGAGATCTCTTCCAACTCTAGGATTCTATGATTATCCACCTCTGGTCCGGAAGTGCTGTTGTTTCCCGAAATGCTCCTCTTCCTGTTTCAGGCTTTGGCCTTCCTGAAGCTCTCAGGAAACCAGATCATCACCTTGCCTTCCCAAGAGACGTGGGCTTGCCGGTGGCTGAAGTCCCTGGACCTCTCCAAGAACCAGCTGGGAAAGTGAGTCCTTCCTCTTGCCCCTGCACTCTAGAATTAATGCGGTTGTGCACCACTTGCGCTTCCACACTCAATGTGATGCCACCCTGGGAGTCGTAGCCTGGTGAGAGAAAGCTCATTAATGAACAATTTAAATTTAGTGATGTGAAGATGCATTCACTCTGTTACAGGCCTGGGCCAACTTTGGCCTCCAGGTGTTTTGGACTCCCAACTTCCACAATTCCTAGCTGTTCGGAATTGTGGGAGTTGGAGTCCAAAACACCTAGAGGGCCAATGTTGGCCCAAGTGTGCTTTATAGTGTAGATATACCCAAATTCATACTGTGAAGGAGGGCTTTCTGATTCATTGGCCTTTCGTTTGTTTGCTTACAGGATGGACGAAGGGGCCAAAATGAAGCGGATTTCTTTCTTCAGTACCAGGAACCGAGGGCGTTCGAGCACAGAAACAGGTATGATGCGCAGAATAAAAGAGCTGGCTGTAAAGCCTTCCGTGGAAGGAAGCCCTTTCTTCTCCTGTGTCCCGTCCTTTGAGGACATTGAGATAGGCTCCTTGGTAGCTTCTCCCAAGCTGTGAAGGTAGCCTCGTCTTTGGCCAAGAACTTTGTATGGATATACAGGCAGTCCCCGAGTTGCAAACACCCAACTTACAAAAGACTCCCAGTTAAGAACGAACGATGGTTTTGGTCTGAATGCCTTTGGGGGTCCCTTCTACATCTATGATACTATATCTATCTCATACACACACGCATGTGCACGCACACACACACACATATACATGCAGTCCCTGTGTTAACAATGAACGACTCCTAGTTCAGAACAATGGGGCTGGACTGGATGGCCTTCCACATATATGATACTATATGTATCACACACACACACACATATACATGCAATCCCTGAGTGAACAATATCTGACTTGCAAACGACTTCTAGTTAAGAATAGGACTGGGATAGATGGCCTTTGGGGGTCTCTTCCAAATTTATGATTCTCTATCTATTTCATGTTATATATATTACACGCACACATACAGGCAGTCCCTGATGTATGCACCTCAAGATTTATGGTCTCCCTTACCAGTTTTCCCAATCTCCGGACATTATGTCAGCTTGACCTGAAGGCCCCTCTGTAGGATTTCATTTCTAGGCATTAGCCTCTTCAAGACTTGTTTTATAATAATAATAATAATAATAATAATAATAATAATAATAACTTTATTTGTACTCCGCTACCATCTCCCCAAGGGACTCGGTGCGGCTTACATGAGGCCGAGCCCACAACACATCAATAAACAAAAGCAATAACAATAAATCAATACAAAACAGTTGAAATAAACTCAAAAACAAAAAATACACAATAAGCAATAAACAATAACAATATCAAAAACATACAGCATTTAAAAACCTATGGCCGGGCCAAATGTAAAATTCAAATTTAAAATTTAAAAAGTGCTGGGCATGAACAAGGTATGGCAAATTAGGAGAGGGTTTTCAGAGAAAGATGAGGGCATGCAGACAATCCTAAGTCAATATTAAAGTGCATTTGAGGACATATTACTAAGAGTTTTCCTTATTCTGGGAAGGCACACTGGAACAACCACGTTTTCAGGCTCCTCCTAAAGACTGCCAGCATTGGGGCATGTCTGATGTCCTTAGGGAGTGAATTCCAGAGTCGAGGGGCCACCACCAAGAAGGCCCTCTCCCTCGTCCCCACCAATCGCGCCTGCGAAGGAGGTGGGAGCGTGAGCAGGGCCTCTCCAGATGATCGAAGAGATCGTGTGGGTTCGTACAGAGAAATGTGGTCACGTAGGCGGATCCCAAACCGTTCAGGGCTTTGTAGGTAAGAACCTGCACCTTGAATTGGGACCGGAAGATGAACGGCAGCCAGTGGAGCTCCTTAAAAATCTATTCTTGGCACATGCTCAAGAATAGATTTTCTACGACACAATATTCAACATGATGCCTGTGGAATCAGAGCTTGTCTCCATCTTTTTGTGTGAATTCAGCTTGTGCCTCCCTCCAGGTTCCACTTTGGAGTTTCCTGAATTCTTGGCCGAGACTCTTGAAGTTCTCTACCTGAACGACAACCAGCTGGACTCCGTCCCGCAGTCGGTCTGCCTCCTCAAAGGGCTGTCGGAGCTTTACTTGGGAAAGTAAGTCCGGTTAAAAAATGCCACACCTGCCATGGACACTCCACTTGCTTCTTTACTCATGGGAAGTTTCCCACCCAAAGAGCAGAGACCAGAGCTTGGGATTGTTATGGTTTAGAATGAGATTCCCAGAATTCCCAGTCAGCTTGGTTGGCAGTGGCTGGGGAAATGCTTTGAGTCTCCTTCAGGAGAGATAAAGCAGGGTATAAATAAATATGTATTTATTATTATAGATTTACTAGCTGTCACCTGCCACACGTTGCTGTGGCCTAGTCTGTTGATATGGAAAATAAAGTAATGAGAAAGTGTTGGCTTCTAATATATATAATGTCTTTCTACTTGTGGGTAAACAGTATTTCTTGCTGTTTCTTTGTCAGTGTTGATGTGGAGAGTGTCTGGTTTGCCTACTCTGGAACATGCAACATATAATTGTCCTTCTTTAAGGGTCCCTTTCAAATCTATGATACTATATCTCTCTGTGTGTGAATCATATCTATCTATCTATATCTATGGCTGGATGGCTCTTTGTCAGGAGGGCTTTGATTACATTTTCTTGCCCTGGTGAAGGGAGTTGGACTGGATGGCCTTAAGTATTTTCTGTTGGTCATGGGGGTTCTGTGTGGGAAGTTTGTCCCAATTCTGTCGTTTGTGGGATTCAGAATGCTCTTTGATTGTAGGTGAAGTGTGAATCCCAGTGACTACTCCTCCCAAATGTCAAGGTCTATTTCCCCCAAACTCCATCTGTGTTCATATTTGGGCATATTGAGTGTACCAAGAAGCAGGAAAGGTGCATTCAAAGCACCCCCAACAGATGACCATCCGGCCTCTGTTTAAAAGCTTCCAACGAAGGAGCCTCCATTACACTCCGAGGCAGAGAGTTCCACTGCTGAACAGTTCTCACAGTCAGGAAGTTCTTCCTCATGTTCAGATGGAATCTCCTTTCTTGTAGTTTGAAGCCATTGTTCCGCATCCTAGTCTCCAGGGCAGCAGAAAACAAGCTTGCTCCCTCCTCCCTGTGGCTTCCTCTCACATATTTATACATGGCTATCATATCTCCTTTCAGCCTTCTCTTCTTCAGGCTAAACATGCCCAGCTCCTTAAGCCGCTCCTCATAGGGCTTGTTCTCCAGACCCTTGATCATTTTAGTCGCCCTCCTCTGGACACATTCCAGCTTGTCAATAACTCTCTTGAATTGTGGTGCCCAGAATTGGACACAATATTCCAGGTGTGGTCTGACCAAGGCAGAATAGAGGGGTACCATGACTTCCCTGGATCTAGACATTATACTCCTATTGATGCAGGCCAAAATCGCATTGACTTTTTTTGCCGCCGCATCACATTGTTGGCTCATGTTTAACTTGTTGTCCACGAGGACCCCAAGATCGTTTTCACACGTACTGCTCTCGAGCCACGCGTCCCCCATTCTATATCTTTGCATTTCATTTTTTCTGCCTAAGTGGAGTATCTTGCATTTGTCACTGTTGAACTTCATTTTCACTCTTCTGCTGATTCTTTGGCTTTCAGCATCTCAGCCTTATGGCTTGACTCTTGGCTTTCTCAGATGGATTCTTTCAGGCCCCTTTTCCTATTATTTATTATTATTTTCTTTACAAAGTCTAGTATGTTCCCTGGTGATCTGTGGAAGACACAGAATATTTGCATCCCACTGAACTAAGATGCATATCTAGAACTGAATGCATGTCCTTATATTTTGCAGCATTTTCGGCGCTTCCTTGCTTCCCGTCTCACTCATCAAATGGTTTTTCTTGGTTCTGTTGAAATCCCTGGAAAGTTCTGGCCAAGCTGTAACCTTCAGGGTTGCATCAAATTGAAAGAGTGGATGTTTGTGCATCACTTCCCTCTCAGGATGGGTGTGTTTATTTTACTGTATATTTTATTTTGTATTTTCCGACAGCAATGCAGGTATTCATGAGCTTCCTCCCGAACTTGGGCAACTGGCTAATCTCTGGCAGCTGGATCTGGAGGAGCTGAGCATTGGCAACCTTCCCGCCGAGATCAGGAAAGAGAGTGAGTCTATTTCTTCCCTGCGTTTATTCTTCTCAGCTGTTTGGACCGCAAACCAGGCTTTGTTTTATTTATTATTGAATGGTGCAGAAAATGTGGAGGAATGCAGGCAGGCCGCCATGTCTCACAATGAGATGAGGAGCCCGTTCTTTTTTCCCGTTGGGGCCAAATTCCGCTTGGTTGCTTTATTTTCTCCATAGAAGTTTGTAAATGTGCATGGTTTTCCTCCAGTGATTGCATAGATTTTTTAAATACGTTTTTTATTAAATACATTTCTGCTTTAATTTTTCATATAAAAACAAGATAGAGGTATAGGGTAAGGTTAGGAGGGAAAGGAGGAGATATACTGTATATACTCGAGTATAAGCCTAGTTTTTCAGCCCCTTTTTTAGGCTGAAAAAGTCCCTCTCAGCTTATACTTATACTGAATTATTATTGTGGGGGGAAATTGAAGACAGGGTTACAATCGGGTTGTTGTAGGTTTTTTCGGGCTATATGGCCATGTTCTAGAGGCATTCTCTCCTGAAGTTTCGCCTCATCTATGGCAAGCATCCTCAGAGGAAGTGAGGTCTGTTGGAACTAGGAAAATGGGTTTATATATCTGTGGAATGACCAGGGTGGGACAAAAGACTCTTGTCTGCTGGAGCTAGGTGTGAATGTTTCAACTGACCACCTTGATTAGCATTTGATGGCCTGGCAGTGCCTGGGGCAATCTTTTGTTGAGAGGTGATTAGATGTCCCTGATTGTTTTCCCTCTGCTGTTTTGCTGTTTTAATTTTAGAGTTTTTTTTAATACTGGTAGCCAGATTTTGTTCATTTTCATGGTTTCCTCCTTTCTGTTGAAATTGTCCACATGCTTGTGGATTTCAATGGCTTCTCTGATACAAACTAGAGTTCCTTGTCCCACCCTGGTCTTTCCACAGATATATAAACCCTTTTTCCTAGTTCCAACAGACCTCACTACTAGGCTTGTTTGATCGTGTTCGTTAGTTTCTAAAGTCGTTATTAATTCGTATTTAAATTAGCTTACGATCCGATATCGAGCCATGCAGGAATAATGTGAAGAGTAATTAAGAATCGAAACTATTTTTCCAAATTTTCGTAATTATTTCATAATTATTAAGGCGGGAAAGAAGGAGAGAAAAGGTGCTAGCATTGCTTTTCCTCCCCATCCTCCTCCTCCTCCTCCTACTGAAGATATTTTATTATCTTATTACTTATTTTATTATTTTATTTTATTATTTATTTTATTATTTTGTTATTTTATTATTTTGTTATTTTATTATTTTATTATTTTGTTATTTTATTATTTTATTATTTTATTATTTTATTATTTTATTATTTTATTAATTTTAAGTGATTTTAATTTGTATTTTTACTAACTTAATATATTTTATTCATCCTAAATTTATTTTAATTTGGTTTTGGTTGTTGTTAGTTTTATCACCAACAGTCAACAACAGAGGGAGAGGGAAGCTTCAGAAGTTCCCCCTGTCCCGTTTGGAGGTTTTTTTAGCATATTGCGCAATCGCGTCCGCCATTAACGAATCGATTCGTTATTAACAAATTTTCGTAAATTTTGAAATTTCAAAATCTTAAATTTCGGAAGTTCTCTGAAATTCGAAACGCTGGTGCCCCCTGGAAACAAAGCGAGTTTAGAACCAAATTTTTTCTTGATCAAACAAGCCCATCACTACCTCTGAGGATGCTTGCCATAGATGCAGGCGAAACATCAGGAGAGAATGCCTCTAGAAATGGCCATATAGCCCGAAAAAACCTACAACAACCCAGTGATTCCGGCCATGAAAGCCTTCGACAATACAGAGTTACAACCGTTCAGGCCAGGAACTGCCTGGACATTTCTGCTGCTGTTTCAGTTGGGCTCCTGGGCTGTTTTGTCATTCTCCCCTGGCCAGGTCCCAAAGCCATTTTAGCCTACCTGCGAGCACAGCTGCGCAAAGCGGAGAGATGCAACCTGATGAAGGTGATTGTGGTGGGGCCCCCACGGCAAGGGAAATCCACCCTGATGGAGATTCTGCAGACAGGGAAGGCTTCCCCGGCGATGCCCAGCAACGCCACCATCCGGACCTCCAAGTGGGAGCTGCAGAAACCCTCTGGGTTCAAGGCAAAGGTGAGCATGGAAATGCCAGGAGGGTTTTCTTTTTCTTCCAGGGTACAAAGCAGAGCGGAGCCTGAGGCAGGAGCGAAAAGAAAGCTGGGCAATAAATGGCAATCCAATCAAGGATAGGTTTACATTGATGCTGAAGTTGAGATCCTTGTTCTTGGTGACTGCAAAAAGGACAAGTGATGTGACCCGCTGCTTCTTTAATTTCATTTACTACAGTGTTTCTCAACCTGGGGGTTGGAACCCCTGGAGGGGTCATGAGGGGGGTGTCAGAGGGGTCGCCAAAGACCATCACAAAACACAGTATTTTCTGTTGGTCATGGGGCTTCTGTGTGGGAAGTTTGGCCCAATTCTATCATTGGTGGGGTTCAGAATGCTCTTTGATTGTAGGTGAACTATAAATCCCAGCAACTACAACTCCAAAATGTCAAGGTTTATTTTCCCCAAACTCCAACAGAGTTCACATTTAGGCATATAGAGTATTTGTGCCAAGTTTGGTCCAGATCCATCATTGAGACAACCGTGCTCTCTGGATGTAGGTGAACTACAACTCCTGTCTGACTGTCTCTCTGCCTATCACATCTAATCCATTTATCTATCTGTCTATTTATCTAATCAGGCTGCATATCTGCCTATCTAATTTACTGATCAATCTATCTGCCTCTGTCTTATCTATCCGCCTTTCTGTCTGTCTGTCTGCTTATCTATCTGCCTGTCTATTTGTCTGTCTAATCTATGTGCCTATCTATCTTATCTATCTTATCTATTCTAATCTATCTATCTATCTATCTATCTATCTATCTATCTATCTATCTATCTGCTTATCTGTCTGTCTATCCATATGCCTATCTATCTATCTATCTATCTATCTATCTATCTATCTATCTATCTATCTATCTGCTTATCTGTCTGTCTATCCATATGCCTATCTATCTATCTATCTATCTATCTATCTATCTATCTGTTTATCTTATCTATATATCTGACTGTCTCTCTGCCTATCTGCCTATCATATCTCATCTATTTATCTATTTGCCTATTATATAATTTGGGCATATTGAGTATTTGTCCCAAGTTTGGTCCAGATCTATCACTGTTTGACTCCACAGTGCTCTCTGGATGTAGGTGAACTACAACTCCCAAACTCAAGGTCAATGCCCACCAAACCCTTCCAGTATTTTCTGTTGGTCATGGGAGTTCTGTGTGCCAGTTTGGTTCAATTCCATCGTTGGTGAAGTTCAGCGTGCTCTTTGATTGTAGGTGAACTATATATCCCAGCAGCAACTACAACTCCCAAATGACAAAATCATATTTCTGTCTATTTGGTCCTGAATAAATACATCCTGGATATCAGATATTTACATTATGATTCATAACAGTAGCAAAACTGCAATTGTGAAGTGGCAACAAAAATAATGTTATGGTTGTCAGAGTAATGAAGTTTGCCAGCGGAAGGATTGCTAGATCAGCAGACACTGTATTCAAAATGAGGACTCTGCAAGCTTTCAGTTACAACAGAAAACTACGTTTTACTAAGTACATCTACACACGTCTATTCACAGCAAGCTACAGACAGGAACTCCTAGGCAAAAACAACAGTCTCTGAACATCTGCTTATCTGACTTCTGGCTGAGACCAGTTCCTCCCTCTTCTTCCCAGCCAGAGAACACGTTATCTCATTTCTGTCAAGGTTACATTTTCACTGCCTCAGTACAGTATTTTCTTATACACAATAGAGCAGAATAGAATCCATCTTGAATTACATAGAAGCACATTGAAAAACACACATGCATAACCAAATAATCCTGACAATGGTTGGGGGTCCCACAACATGAGGACTGTATTAAGGGGTTGTGGCATTAGGAAGGTTGAGAACCACTGGTCTAGTGGTAGAGTCTTGTAAATTAGCTGTTTTGTTCATATGAAGTGGGACAAGGATTGATACGGATGGTAATAATGTTTCATTCCTATCTGTCTGTCTGTCTATCTGGAGAAAGAGTCTGCCTTTACAGACCCAAGGTAAATTATTCAGTCTGTGAAAAATAAGCGAAATCCATATTTAATGAAGGCGGCTTAACAGCCCTCCCTCCTTTTCTTGCCACAGCAAAGGCACAACTACTGAGCGGAAGCAATTAGCTTAGATTTCCTGTGTAGAATTGATAGCTGCCCCATACAAACATTTCTTTCTTCAGCCAGAACATTGATCTCAATTGATGCTTAGCGTTGCACATTATGGAGATAGGCAGGGTGCGGGTTCATTATGCATTGACCATTATCTCTTCGCGATTGGCTTTAACTGCACAGGGTGTTGTCTCTCCCTCAATGTTTCTCTTTGTCCACTTAGATGAATTCTGTCGCGTTTAACGTCTGGGATATTGGGGGTCCCGCCAGCATGTCAACAGTCAATCAGTGTTTCTTCACAGATAAAGCATTATACGTTGTTGTCTGGAACTTAGCGCTGGGGGAAGAAGCTGTGGCAAATCTTCAGTTCTGGTTACTGAATATCGAGGTAAGGAAGGGGGAAGCTGCACCGGCTTTCTGGGGGCTTGGAAGTTACAATGCGGAGAATGCAGAATGCCCATGGACGGAAACAGACTCAATTGAGAATTCATTTCATACAACTTGGTGAAACTGCTCTTGGTTGTTGCCACCCGGGGGTTGCAATTGGCCCAGCCAGCAGCTTATGGCCATGTTTTTTTTTCCCCCAAAAGAACATTCTGTCGAATGCAGAAAGAAATTGACCTCAAGAGGCACATCACCCTGTCCACTTGGGTCACTTCCCAAGGGCTCCTGAACCACAAAGTGGAATCCATTCAAATGGGTCTCAACCCTGACCTGGCTTTGCACTGGATATGTCATCTGCATCTAGTTTCTTTTTGTTTGTCTTCATCCAGTTGACATTCCTTCTCACTCAGCCCAATAAGAATGTATTTTCTAATATGGCACATAGTACCGGGAAACTCCTTCATAACAAGCAATTATAGCAATTTCTGTTAAACTGCTCCATGTTTCCTCCATGTTTTGTTTCCTCCATGAGATTCCTTTTGAGCTGTTAAGTTATCCAACTCAATCAGCTAAGGCCACAATTTTATGTACTGTCCTGTGCGACAATGAGCAGATTTGCTATGACGGAAGTTGCTGGAATGAAAGGGTTGTCAGCTAGTCATCCAGTCCAGGTCTGTCACATCTGGAAGAGAGAATGGGGAGTTCATCCACACAGCAACTCAGGAGCCTAAACAAGTCAGCAAGGGGTAAAATAGAGTTGTACATCATAGCCAGTCCAAGGCCAAGAAAAGATCAACCCTGAAGAGTATTGCTATTCTCCAAAAGAGAATGGTCGTGAAAACAAAGAAGCACCAAGATTTGTAGATGTTTGTTCCAAGGCACCAGGTGCCTAATTAACCAGCATCTCTATTTAACCATCGTTTCGATCCGTGTAATCTCCCTTTTCCTTTGTTCTGTGTCTTCAGGAGGCTTCTGACTTATGGGGACCCTCAGGCTAACCACTCTTGAGGTTTTCTGGGAAATATTAGTTTGGAAGAGGGTTGTCTTTGCCTTCCTCTGGGGCTGTAAAAGTGGTACCTGCCCAAAGGGTTTCCATGATTGAGCAAGATTTTGAACCTTGGTCAGATAGGGAGACTGAAGTGCAGTGGGGTGGACGGTACACTTCTCGACCTCCGAAGAGAGACTCAGTCCGGCTAACAGCAGAAAATTCAACACAAATATAGTAAACATAATAGCATCATAATACATTAATACAAAATACATTAAAATACAGATCATACAATATCATACAATTACAAAAGCCAGGTCGTCAGAATAAAATCACAAATTCATCACCATCCGCCGGTGTGGTCAGCCGTTATTGACTCGATCATCATTCTGCAAATGCTATATTCCAAAGCCAGGTTTTTACCAGCTTTCTGAAAGTCAGGAGGGAAGAGGCAGATCTAATCTCCAATGGGAGAGAGTTCCAGAGCCGAGGGGCCACCACCAAGAAGGCCCTGTCCCTCGTCCCCACCAGACGCGATTGCGAAGGTGGTGGGACCGAGAGCAGGGCCCCTCCAGAAGATCTTAACTCTAGAACAGAGTTTTCCAAACATTTCATGTTGGTGACACATCTTTTTTTGACTTGCAGCATTTTGCGACAAAGAATCTAGATTTATTTATTTATTTCGTACATTTCTATCCTGCCCTTCTCCCCACAAGGGGATTCAGAGCGGCCTCACATAGGCATCAACAATGCTTACAACATGTACATCAAAGAATACAATAAAACAGTAAAACAGTAAAATCATCTTAAAACATCAAACACATCAGCCAATACATTCATTTACCAGATAACATTAAAATGCCAGTAAAACCAGGAAATCCAGTGTTGCAACCCAAAATCCTTTCCTATTGTCATTATCATCTAATCAAATGCCTGCCTGCAGAGCCAGGTCTTCAGTTGTCTTCTAAAGGCCACTGAGACCAGGAGGCTCTTAAAGGGTCTAATGACCCACCCCAGCAGCAGCTGCCCTCAAGTGGTAGCCACAGCAGGAGCAGGGAGCCATGCCCAGTTTGTAAGTAAGCCTGCTCAGCAACAGTTCATGTATGGGGAACGAGCTCTGAGGATTACCTGGGAAGGAATCCCACTGGAGCATTGCAGCGCACCCAAATACATGGGAGTCACTCTGGACCGTGCTCTTACCTACAAGAAGCACTGCCTGAACATCAAGCAAAAAGTGGGTGCTAGAAACAATATCATACGAAAGCTGACTGGCACAACCTGGGGATCACAACCAGACACAGTGAAGACATCTGCCCTTGCGCTGTGCTACTCCGCTGCTGAGTATGCATGCCCAGTGTGGAACACATCTCACCACACTAAAACAGTGGATGTGGCTCTTAATGAGACATGCCGCATTATCACGGGGTGTCTGCGCCCTACACCACTGGAGAAATTACACTGTTCAGCCGGTATTGCACCACCTGACATCCACCGGGAAGTAGCAGCCAATAGTGAAAGGACCAAGGCAGAGACATCTCCAGCTCATCCCCTGTTTGGGTATCAGCCAGCACGTCAATGACTTAAATCAATAAATAGTTTTCTAAGATCTACAGAGACACTCGCTGGAACACCTCAGCTAGCGAGAGTCCAAAAGTGGCAGGCTCAAACCCAAGAACCTCAACCAATGGCTGATACCAAATGAGAGACTCCCTGGGCACACAGAGGACTGGGCGACTTGGAAGGCGCTGAACAGACTGTGCTCTGGCACCACGAGATGCAGAGCCAACCTTAAGAAATGGGGCTAACAAAGTGGAATCCTTGACATGCGAGGTGGAGGAGAGGAGCAAACCACAGACCACCTGCTGCAATGCACCCTGAGCCCTGCCACATGCACAATGGAGGACCTTCTTGCAGCAACACCAGAAGCACTCCAAGTGGCCAGATACTGGTCAAAGGACATTTAATCAACTACCAAACTCACACATTTTGTATTTTCTGTTTGTTTGCTTTGTTCTGTTAGAAATGTAATATAATTGACTGGCTGCCCTGACACGAGAAATAAATAAATTTCTATTTTTAAACATCTTTTCCACATTGACTTGTTAGGTTTGTGCGCCACACCTACACACTGCAGCTGACACACTAATGTGTCACAACACACAGTTTGGAAAGCTGTGCCCTAGAGCAGGCATGGGCCAACTTGGGCCCTCCTTCCAGGTGTTTTGGACTTCAACTCCCACAATTCCTTACAGCCTCAGGCCCTTTCCTTTTCCTCCCTCAGCTGCTTAGGAAGAAAAGGAGGTGGCCTGAGGCTGTTGGGAATGGTGGGAGTTGAAGTCCAGAATATCTGGTAGGAGGGCCCAAGTTGGCCCATGCCTGCTCTAGAGCAATAGTCCTGTGCTATGCTGGTTGAGCCTCACTTATCCAAAATGCTTGGGCCAGACATGTTTTGGATTTTAGATTTTTTGGAATGTCTGTGTATACATGTATATAATAAGATACATTGGGAATGGGTTCCAGGTCTTGCCATGAAATTCATGAATGTTTCATATGCACACTATACACCAAGCCTGAATGGAATTGTATACAATATTTGAAATTAGTGATGTGCACCACCTTGAACTTTCAGAGAGCAAAGGTCTCACTGTCGCAGTTTCCATGAGGCTTTTGGAATATTTTGAGGTTTGGGTTTGAAGGAAAGGAATGCTCGACCTGTGCCCTGTTTTTACAGTTCGGCATTTTCCAAAGGTTTGTTCAGAGAGAACATGGAGAGAAATACTTGGATGCTTTGACGCTGTTTTTTCCCCTTTCCAGGCCAAAGCACCAAATTCAGTTGTGTTGGTGGTGGGAACTCACCTTGACTTGATTGAAACCAAATTTCGTGTGGAAAGGATTGCCACCCTGAGAGCCTATGTCCTGGCTGTGTGTCGATCCCCTTCTGGCTCGAGAGCAACCGGCTTCCCAGATATCACCATGAAACACTTACAGTAAGTGAATGTATTGTCGAAGTCTTTCATGGCCGGAATCACTGGGTTGTTGTAGGTTTTTTCGGGCTATATGGCCATGTTCTAGAGGCATTCTCTCCTGAAAAGGGTTTATATATCTGTGGAATGATGACCAGGGTGGGACAAAGGACTCTTGTCTGCTGGAGCTATGTGTGAATGTTCCAACTGACAACCTTGATTAGCATTTAATGGCTTGGAAGTGCCTGGGGGAATCTTTTGTTGGGGCTATATGGCATGGTCTACAGACATTCTCTCCTAACAACCACCATGTCAGACTACACAGAGAAGCCATTGAAATCAACAAAATCTGGCTACCAGTATTAAAAAAAACCTCTAAAATTACAACAGAACAACAACAAAGAAGAAGCAAACAAGGACATCTAATCACCTCTCAACAAAAGATTGCTCTAGGCACGAACAAGCCACACCAAACAACAGCCAGACCATCAAATGCTAATCAAGGTGGTCAGTTGAAACATTCACACCTAGCTCCAGCAGACAAGAGTCCTTTGTCCCACCCTGGTCATTCCACAGATATATAAACCCTTTTTCCTAGTTCCATCAGACCTCACTACCTCTGAGGATGCTTGCCATAGATGCAGGCGAAACGTCAGGAGAGAATGCCTCTAGAACATGGCCATATAGCCGAAAAAACCTACAACAACCCAGTGAAGTGAATGCATTGCTTTCCACCAACTGTGTGCCACTTCCTCCCATCGTACACACAATGTGTTCTTCTGTAGTAATTACACTCTGTAACACTATGATTTTTGTTCTAATTGATTCTGTCCTAAAAACATGGGGGAAATTGATTAAACTGCAAAAACCTTGGTTTTGCAGGAGGATAAGGCCATAAAATTGAAGGTAGTAGGAAAAGATGGTGGTAGGATTCTAGGTGTGAAGCCATTGCAGACCTCTTAACCTCCTCTAGATAGTAGTGACCCGAAGAAGCTGTTTCCACACTATGGGATCTTAAAATCTCTTTGCTGTTTTCCATTGCAGCGAAATCTCATGTAAGACGCTCGAAGGCCTAGAAGGTCTGCGGCACCTGATCTATCACATCACCGTCAATATGAAGGACATTGGGAGTTCAATTGGCTCACAAAAGCTTGTTGGGAGATTGGTGCGTACCATTGCATATTGGAGAAAGCACAATGATGTGCAAATGTTGGGTGGGATCTGTGCAGAAGGGTTTCTTTTCTCCTCAGTGGAGACAGAACTGTGGGCATCACTTGCCCTCACTTGTTTCAAGCAGTACTTCAGTGTTAACATCCCTGGAACACAGAAACGGCTTTGATGGTCATTGACTGTCAGCATTCCTTCTCAGATACCAAGGAGTTACTTGAGTTTCCAAGCGGCCGTCATAGCTGAACAACAGAGGAGAAGCCAAAGTGATGATCT